GTGGTTAGGGACTGGGGTGGGGTTAGATGTTAGGGCTGCACCATGGGCCTAAGGTTTAGGACCTGAGTGTAAGGATCAAGGGTCAGACTTACAAGGTCAGCTTCAGAAGAGGAGTCAGGGTCGGGAGGGCTAGGGTTAGGTAACAAGTCCAAAGGGTTAGATCACTGTCAGCAATAGAGTTAGGGGTTTAGGAAGTAGGACTGAGTTAGGGACTAGGGTTGGGATTTGTTACAGTCAGCGAGGCAGGATGAGGGTAACTCCCTCTTTTTCCTTGCTGTGGGCAGATTCTCCAAGCAGAGAGAAGACATCAGGTTCTCAGTCCATAAGCTCCAAACTCCAGGAGAGAACATGTCAAGGTTTCATGCCACTCTTTCACTGCACACCCCCCCTTTTTTTTTGAGAATGCAGATAGTATTTTATTTTATTTTTATTAGTTGGAGGCTAATTACTTTACAATATTGTAGTGGTTTTTGCCATACATTGACAAATGGATGGATTTACATGTGTTCCCCATCCTGGACCCTCCTCCCACCTCCCTCCCCATCCCATCCCTCTGGGTCATCCCAGTGCACCAGCCCTGAGCACTAGTCTCATGCATCCAACCTGGACTGGCGATCTGTTTCACACTTGATAATATACATGTTTCGATGCTATTCTCTCAGATCATCCCACCCTCACCTTCTCTCATAGAGTCCAAAAGTCTGTTCTATACATCTGTGTCTCTTTTTCTGCCCTGCATATAGGGTTGTTGTTACCATCTTTCTAAATTCCATATACATGCGTTAGTGCACACCCCTTTTGACCAGGGCAACACCAGGCCCTGAGATTCAGCAAAGCAGCAAGGGAGGAATATGCCGGTCTCCCTCTCCTGCAGGCACTACCCTGTATCTGCAAGTCCTGCTCTTAAGGTCCCCTTCACTTGGCTCAGAGAAATCACCTTTCCACCTCGGAAGCATTCTGCACTCTTACTAATTTTGTTCAGTAGATTTCTAGTCATACACACACACATACACACACACACACACAAACACACATCCACAAATACAGAAAGGAAGGAAGTGATATGGCTGCTAGCTAGATTCTGATCTCTTCTTTAGTAAGGCCAGAAGAAACGGTGGGCTAAAGCAACAAAGATAGGGGCAAATACTCAGAAGAAAAATAGAGAAGGGTAATGGGGACGAGAATGATGAGAAAGGGTGTTGCTTTAGATAGTAAGTCTGGCCAGGCCTCTCTGAGGAGGTGACACAAGGCCAAGAAGTGAATCAAGTAAATATTGGGGAGACAACTTTTCAGGCAGTGAGCACCTCCTGTGGAGGCTTTGAGGTGGGAACAGGTGGTAGGATGGTTAGAATGAGGGGAGAGTGGTTTGGAAAGGCATGCAGGTCAGCAAAGCCCAAGTTATGTAGTTCTTTAAGGTCCAAGGTGAAGAGTTTGCATTTTTTTTCTTAGTAGAGCAGGAAAACACGGCAGTGATTTAGGCAAAGGAGTGATGTGAATACCTTGTGCATTAAAAAGATGATTCCATGTGCCACGGAGCAGCCACAACTACTGAGCCTGTACTGAGTTGATGAGCCACAACTACTGAATCCCCTTGCCTAGAGCCTGTGCTCTGCAACAAGAGATGCCACTGAAATGAGAAGCCCGCACACTGCAACGAAGAGTAGCCCTTGCTTGCTACAACCAGAGAAAGCCTGCACAAAGCAAAATAAAGAAAGAAAGAAAGAAGATAAATAAAAAATTAGCCTCATAATGGGTGATTCACCCAACTGAGTTCAGACTCATAACTGGTATATAATTACTTCAGGTCCCACCAAAACCGAATCAAGACACAAGTTCTTTGTCCCCAGCGTCCCTCTGACAGACAAATACTGGGTACCAACGAAGTGCCAGGCACTACCCTAGACCAAAAATAAAAGACAGCGGGCAAAGCCCACTCCGGCTGCCCCACTGGCGGCCCCACTCACTGTCTGGCTGCCACCCTGAAACGCCCATTCTGTCCTCTCTGAGGTCCTCTCTGAGCCACATGCCCTCGCGGCGCCACCGGGCTGGTCCGCCTTCCCACCTGAGGGCGCCCGAGCCCACCCATCTCCCGTCCAAGACGGATACGTCACCGCTTCCGTCCCGGAGCAAGCGCGGGAAAGACAACAGGGCCACCGGGAGGCGGGCCCTCCTGCTGCTGGACACCCCGGACTGGCTGGCACAGCACGGGCTGCCAGCAAGGACCCCGAAGAGGGCTGCCCGGTCGAATGCCTAAAGGACCCCGCTTGGCCCGAAAGGCTAGCTATCGCAGTGCCTGGTGGCCGGGCCCCGCGGCGGGAGGACCAGGTGCTCGCATCCGAACTCCACCCGGGGCTCCCAAATAGCCCAGACTCTGGAGTGGGTTTAGGCCTCGGTACAAAGGGCCGAAACCGCGGGGCTGCAGTCCTAGACAAATGGGAGAGCAGGGTGGGAAAGAGGGCGGTGTCTAGAACTGAGGCTGTGAGCTTGGGGGACTGGAGGGCGGGGCTTCAGGTTTTGGAGGCAGAAAGCCGAGGTGATGATGAGCTTGGGAGGTAGGGGAGCCTGGCTAGCACCCTCCAGGAAGCGGAGAAATAGGAGCCTCCGTTGTGGAGGCAAATGCCCAGGGAATTTCTAAAACTTATAAGTCTGTAAAGGAGCGACTTTTATGTTGAGCAAGTTTCCCGACCTGTTCCTCTTTATTGTAAACCAGTATTCAGGACAAGCATGACTTGACTGGCATTAGAAAAGGAACCATGCCCTCCCCTGGATAGCCTCTAGCATTCTGGCCCTGGAATAGCTGAATCACTCATTCACTGATTGATTCAACAAATACAGTTGAGAGCCATGTGTGTGCTAGGCGCTCTGCAGTACAGAGGATACAGTGGTATGCAGAGCAGATCTGTGCTTTCATGGAGCTGATCTTCTAGTGGGGAAGAGATAAGTGAAGAAGACATGTAAGGAGCCATGAGAGTGGGGAAGCGAACGAAGATCTAGTGGGTGAGTAGGAGGTCATCAGCGGGAACACATTCTGGACTGTGAAAACTCTGGCTGTTGGGCCAGAAAGTCTTGGAGCTGCAAGGCCCATGAGGCTGGAGCAAAAGCAAGTTAAGGTGTATGGAGTTCTAGATGAGGGATCAGATCACACAAAGCCTAGTAGGACATAAGGCTTTCAGGTTTTATTGTAAAAGCAGGGTACACTATGAAGGGTTAAGGAGGGAAATGAAATGATCAGGTTTGCATTTTAGTTCAATGGCTATTGTGTGGAGAACAGATTGTAGATAGTAGCAAGAGTAGAAACTGGAAGATCCTTAAAGAGGCTGTTGCATAAGTCCAGGGAGGGTTGCTGTTGTTTTAGACTGGGGTGATGGCAGTTGAGAAGGAGAGAATTGTATGGATTGGAAGGATACTGGCGAGGCAAAACTGCCAGAACTTAGTGATAGCGTGGATATGGAGGATGAGGAAGGTGAGGTGACAAGGATAGCTCTCCCTAAAAATATGACAAGATTCTGCTCACTTTTGGGTTACTCACCACCTGGGATGTTAGGGAAACTGGGTTGGCTGATCTTGTACTGGTTAGGCTGCGGTTAGCTTTGTGGATCGACTGGAGCATCAGCCTGAATGCTATAGAAAGGGCATGAGTAGGAAAGACCTTGGCAGTGTTTCTCTGTTTGGGCCAGACCCTAGCACTGCCTTTAATGTGCCACTTTCGGGCTAAGAGAAATAACATGGTTGTCCAGACACTGTCTGTGTGTGTGTTTGTGGAAGCCTTCTCTATTTACTGGCAAATTTAGAGGTTCCACCCACATAATCTTTGAGAACTAGCCTTAGACCTGAAGAGATGATCAGTTTCTTACATGTAAATAGAATTTCAAAGTTGGGAGAGATCTCAAGTTTTCTTGGTCCAGTTTAAAATACTTTTGTTTTTATGTAACCAATCCGCTTAAGCCAGCTACTAACTGCTTATGCATACCTTATAAATTTGGGTAACCGCCTCTGCTCAGGGCTTTCTGACCCTGCACCACTGCAATGGTTGCGGCAGAAGGCCCTGGCTCGAGTCAGTAATAAAGTTCCCTTTTTTTGCGAAAATAAAATAAAATAAAATAAAATACTTTTGTTTTTTATAGCATTTCCACAATTATTTATTGAGCTCATACACCATGATTAGACTGTAGATATATAAAGATAAATAGAATAAGACTATATAGGTTCATTTACAATAGAATTGATTAAGTGTTTTTGTGTCAGGCAGTTTCAGCTACTTCAGATACAAAATGAGTACAAGTTGTCTTTGACCTTCAAGTTGAATGTCTGCAAGCCTTGCCATGGTGAAGGACAGGGAAGCCTGGCGTGCTGCAGTCCATGGGGTCACAAAGAGTCAGACACAACAACTGAACAACAAGCCTTGCCATTGAGGACAGCAAGTGTATTAAAGGGTTTGATTTGGCCAGGGTAGATCCTGACTTATCTGTAACTTTAGATAAGAAATCATATGTATCCAGCAGACTTTAGGCAGGGGGTTGGAGGGTGGATGAGAGGGGGATGGTATCCTGGCAACATCCCAATTCTTGTCCATCCAGTCTTGCAATTCTAGAATTGATGGGAGAGCACTGTGTGACCATACCCTTGTGGCTAGGCTCTATGGGAATGTAAATTGTAAATCCTCTGTAAAACACAAAAGATAGGAAGGGAAGGGAATACTCGCAGAGACAGGTCATGTTTAAACTTGAACTTCTCCTGAATGGGTCACTCCTTTGCAGGGTTACAGTTGCACTAACAAGATTATCTCCCCCAGTGGGCAACTTGAAGGCCCCTGTACTAGTCCTTTCCCTCAATCCCATGATCCCAACAGGCAGTTAAATACTAAGCAACTGTCATCTGCTTTATGAATGTCAGAAGTGAGAGCCCTAGTTGACTTGCAAGACTGCATGGCTCCAGAGTAAGAAGGGTGGGGAGTGTAACACTCATGAGTCTCTAATCTGGCTCTCTGGTGCAGGAGGGAGATGACCTCGATCTTGCGGAGCCCGCAGGCTCTCCAGCTCACTCTGGCCCTCATCAAGCCTGATGCAGTTGCTCACCCCTTGATTCTGGAGGTAAGAACACGTCCTAAGCCTCTACTGTATGCCCTGGGCATTGCTTCTGTTTCAGCTGCCACAGGGCCATTTGTGAAGACTGACAACACAGTCCTGTGCTAGATGGTGTGGAGCCAAAGCTAGACGTTGTGGACGCTGACCCCAAGGAGACTGAAAATCTGTTGGAGAACTGAGGCAGATATAAAATATAACCACTGGTAGTCCAGTGCTGAAGAATCTGCCTTGATGCAGGGAACATAGGTTTGATCTGTGATCAGAGAAGTAAGATCCCACTGAGATTGGGGAACTAAGATGGGGCAACTAAGCCCACGTGCCACAACTACTGAAGGCCACGGGCCACAGCAAATGATTCTGCATGAAGCAATGAAGATCCTGCGGGCTGCAACTTAGACCCCAGGCTGTGTGCTGTGCTTAGTCACCAGCCATGTCCGACTGTCTGCAGCCCCATGGGCTATAGCCCCCAGGCTCCTCTGTCCATGGGAATTGTCCAGACAAGAATACTGGAATGGGTTTCTATGCCCTCATCCAGGGGATTTTCCCAACCCAGGAATGGAATCCAGGTCTCCACCTTGCAGGCAGATTCTTTAAACACATGCAGCCAAAGAAACAAATAAATAAAATATTTTTTAAAAAAATTAAAGAAAAGGTTCTAATACAGTAAGAAGAACCAAACCTCAAGACAGTGTATGTATACTAGTTGTCTACTGCATATGTGCTCAGTCATGATTGGCTCTTTGCAACTCCATGGATTATAGCGTGCCAGGCTCCTCTGCCCATGGAATTTCCAGGCAAGAAGACTGGAGTGGGTTGCCATTTCATCCTCCAGGGGATCTTCCTGACCCAGAATTCAAACCCTTATCTCCTGTGTCTCCTGCATTGCAGGCAAATTCTGTACCACTGCACCACCTGGGAAGCCCCAGTTCTCTATTGCCACATAACAAATTACCACACACTTAGCAACTTAAAACAGCATTCATTACCTCACAGTTCTAGAATGTAGAGGTCCAGTAGGTTTGGCTGAGGGCTAGGTTCTCACCTTAGGGTTTCACAAAGCCCAAGTCCAGGTATCAACTCACTGGGCCCTTATCTCCAGGGTGTGGGGAAGAATCCATTTTGAAGCTCATTCAGAATGGCAGAATTTGATTTCTGGGACCATAGGACTGAGGTCCCCATGTCCTAGCTGGCCTTCAGGTGGGGACTACCATTTTTAGTGACTGCTCACATTCCTCATACATGACTTACTCCCATCTTCAAGATAGCAACAGGGAGTCTCTTTTCTTCAAGTTTTAGGCTGTAAAGGTTCCCCAGGAGTCTTTTGGTTAGCCTGGGTCTCCCGTTCACTCAGATGCTCCCTGTCACTGACTTTTATCTTTGGGATGGCGTTCATCCAGGCTGTTCATCAGCAGATTCTGAGCAACAAGTTCCTTATTGTGCGAATGAGAGAACTCCTGTGGAGAAAGGAAGACTGCCGGAAGTTTTACCGAGAGCATGAAGGTAGGAGCCGAGCGTCCTCTGAGCGGGAGGCTTCTCTATCCCGGAAAGATTTTACCGACACCCACGTCAGGTTCGCACTGACGTCAGTTGGGTCACTGTGTGTCTGACTCTTTGCGACCCCGTGGACTGCCGCACGCCAGGCTTCCCTGTCCATCACCAACTCCCGGAGCTTGCTCAAAGTCATGCCCATCGAGTGGGTGATGCCATCCAACCATCTCATCCTCTGTCGCCCCCTCCTCCTCCTGCCTTCAGTCCTGGCATCAGGGTTTTTTCCAATGAGTCAGTTCTTTGCATCAGGTGGCCAAAGTATTGGAGTTTCAGCATCAGTCCTTCCAATGAACATTCAGGACTGATTTCCTTTAGGATTAAGTGGTCTGATCTCCTTGCAGTGCAAGGGACTCTCAGGAGTCTTCTCCCAACACCACACTTCAAAAGCATCAATTCTTCGGCATTCACTTTCTTTATAGTCCAACTCTCACATCCATACATGACTACTGTACTTACCAACTGTAAAATTCAGCCAGTCTTCTAAAGAGTGGGTTGATAACATGAACTTTTCATGATTATCAATGTTTTTAAAATATTATCTAGGAGGATCCTGCCTCATGGTACCAACAAGAAATTTACTTTTACATCCTGATAATATCACTAGTTAACAAAAAACTCTGTCAAGCACTATCCAAAGGCTCATGATTTCATTTCATTTCCCAGCAACCCCATGAGGTAGGTATTATATCCCCAGCACACAGATTAGGAAACTAAGTTAGGGAAGTTATTGATTTACCCGAAACTACACAGGTGGTAAGTTGGAGAGCCTGGATTCAGACCCAGATAAGTCAGACTCCCTGTTCCTTTCTGGAAAACAGTGATTATTCCCTCCTCTAGGGAGGCAGGAGTATAAAAAGTTCTCTTGGCACTGGTGTCTTAATGGAGATCCTCTCTCCTTGCAGGACGTTTTTTCTATCAGCGGCTGGTGGAGTTCATGGCCAGGTATTTCTCATTTTGGTTCCAACATCTTCATCCACTGAGACTTATTTCCCCTGCCCCCCTAAGTAGATTTATTAATTTTATTTGCCACTCTTTAAAGTTGTAAGCAGTGTCGAGGGTCTGAAGAAACATGGGTTCGGGCCGAGACTGACCCTGTGGCCACCTGTTCTGAGGTGCTTACTGATCCAGGGGCTGTAGAAGAGTGCTGTTGAATGCTTCCTAACAACTCTGCCGTCTCGGTGGCCTTTCTTCCTCGGCGGCGTTCTGTCATCTCTCTGATGCAGTACTCAGCTAGAAAGGCAAGGGGACTCTCAGGATGTCCATTGTGCCCTCCTGAACCCAGAGCCAGATTCCTGACATGTGTTCCCTTGGTTCACAGTGGGCCGATCCGAGCCTACATCCTCGCCCACAAGGACGCCATCCAGCTCTGGAGGACCGTGATGGGACCCACCAGAGTGTTTCGAGCACGCCACATGGCCCCAGATTCAATTCGTGGGAGTTTCGGCCTCACCGACACCCGTAACACAACCCACGGCTCAGGTGAGGCTGCCTCCTGTGTCCACAGGATTCAAAGGGAATTTGGTTCAAGGACACTGGGCAGGCTGGGTGGTGGGGTTGAAAGGCAGGTCCCCCAGGGAGCTTTCCTCCCAGTTGGGTTTCTGGCCCTTTGTGGTGACCTCGGCAGATGTGGCCCAGGACTGAGGGGCGGGAGAAGTACAGGCTCTGAAGCCGATTATGACTGCTTCTTGCGTCTACCCTGCACTCCCTATGAGAACCCCTTCTCTTTCTCTCCTCCCCTTACAGACTCAGTGGTTTCAGCCAGTAGAGAGATTGCAGCCTTCTTCCCCGATTTCAGTGAACAGCGCTGGTACGAGGAGGAGGAGCCCCACTTGCGCTGTGGCCCTGTGCACTACAGTCCCGAGGGTGGCATCCACTTTGCTGCTCCAGCAGGGGGCCCGGGGCCAGCCTGACACAGGCCTGTGAGTGTGTGAAGACTGGGGCATCGCCCAACCTTCCCCACAGACCTCTGCTCCCACACAGTCTTCTAGGACCAGGGAGGCTGGGGGCTGCTTGCGCCATCTCTGCTGGGCACCGCCAGCTGCGTGAGGGTTAAGCTTCTCACTGCCACCTCTTCTAGAATCTGTCTACCTCTTCTCTGGAAGGCTCATGGCTGGTTCAAAGGAATGATGGCTTCTCTTTTTCAGGGAGCTGTTCATCATTTTCAAGGAGAAGCTTGCCCAGCTGACTTGCCTGAAAAATGCAGTGACTCTCTATTAGTCACGTTTAGTCTGTTTTCCTTAATAAAAGTCAGTATGCTACTGAATAAAGGCTGGGAGCACTACTCGAGGTGCTCTCTCTCTCTCTCTTTAACTGGAGCATTTAAACCTGTCCTAAGTCAAGTTTCTGGTCTATGCTAAGTTAAGAGAGAGGCAAAATCTCCCAGGAGGTTCACATGGCGTTCAGCTTATGTAGAGCACGAAGGCCCCTGGCATAAGCCTGCATCCTAGAAGAAGGGGCACCTTTGGTTTGAGCAAAAGTATGTCTGCCCAGTAGTGGCATATTGTTAGGACTTTTTTTTTTTTTTCCTGATTTTCACACAGCCACTAAAGGGAGCCATGTCTGTGCTATAGCTGAGGATGACAGTTACCTACTGCTATGACAAACCACCTCAAGATTTCATGGCTTAAAACAATAATGACTGAACTTATCTATATGTCTGTGGATCAGCTGGGTGATTCTGCTGGGCTCACCTGGACGCACATGGCTGCGTTCAGCAGTTGGATCCAGCGTGGTCTTTCCTCCTGAGCTGCTTCTTTGCATAGTTATTTCAGGGTTCCAGGAAAGCAGGCCTCCCTCCATTCACGAGCTTATCGAGCTTCCGCTTGGGTCATGTTTGCTGATACCCCACTGTGAACGGCACGTCACATGGCCAAGCCCAGAGTCCCTGTGGGAAGCAACTGCACAGGGCACAGATGCAGGGAGGTGTGAATCACGAGGGAGCGTTACCGTGACAGTCTACAATCTGAAAGTGAACAGGCTTGAAGTTATATAGAGAACTTAAGAAAACAAATATTTGCACAAGCCAGGAAAAGACAGAAATAGCCAGAGAAGGACGGCTGAAGCCTTGCCCACAACTTGCACTCATCAGTCTCCTCTCCTGAGTGTGTCCTCTGGTGTGTGTTGAGGATTGTCTTGTGACTAGGCCCGCACCCACACTCCCTGTGAACAAAAGGCTTCTCACCTGAAGGTGTCCTGAGGTGTGATTTCTCCCTAAAGTCTTGGCCACAGTTCCTGCACATGTAAGGTTTATGCCCTCTGTGAATCCTCTGGTGCTTAATGAGGGCTGGCTTTTCACTAATAGCTCACCCACACAGCACGCGCACAAAGGGCTTCTCCCTCGTGTGTGTCCTCTGAGGCAGAGTGACTTGAGGCACCTTCTCCCTGAGTGTGTTCTCTGGCGGTTTTAAGGGGCGACATCTAAAAAGCCTGGCCCACGCTCCCTACGAATTTAAGGCTTTTCCCTGTGTGTCCTCTGATGTCTGATGAATGTGACTTCTGACTAAAGCTTCACCCACACTTTGCACACAGATCTTCCCTCCCTGTGACACTGAAGAGGTTTGACTTCTGGCTAAAATCCAGTCCACACTCACCAAACTGGACTGCTCCAGATCCTGAGATTTCTACCCTCTCAGGAGCATTGTCTGTCTCCCCAGAGCTTACCTTCTGGGCTGGACTGAGCTGCACCTTCGACACAGTTGCCTCTCTGAGAGTTTACTGGTGGTCATTGGGGTTGACTAGAGAAAAGCACTGAAGTCCTCCTGTCAATGGTACTTAAAAAAAAAAACAAAAACAAAGGGCTAGACACCCTCACCCTTTGATGTTCTGCTTTGCCCACCACCACCCCTCCCCACAGTGGTTTTCATCAGAATGTTGTTGCTGCTACTGCTGCTGCTCAACTGGGCAAGGATCTCCTGGTTAGTGTTGATTTCCTGCACATGAATCTGGAAATAGGATGACTGCAGAGATCACACTGGCTGAGAATCTGCTGCCTGCCAGAGGACAGAGAGGCCAGGGATGGATCTGTGGCTTTGCATCTGAAGAAAGAGTTTTCAGTCTAAGTAGTCACAGGAAGGGTTAGCTAGGCTTTTCCTTCTTGTCATAATCTCTTATAGTCCATTCATCATTCACAACCATTAATGTCTGTCTCTCCAAGGCAAGCTTCAGCAGACCTATATTTTCATTTAACCCCTTTTGACTTTTTATTTGGAAACAATTTCAAACATACAGAAAAGTTGCAAGAATAAGGAGAGTATACAGAACAGCTCTTACCTTTTACCCAAACTACCTACCGTTAAAATTTGTATGTTATATGTGTGTGTGTACATGTATACGTACATACATTTTCTTCTTTGAATCAATGCATACATCAATACTCTTTACCTATAAATACTTCATTGTGTGTCTGACAAAAGTAGGGATATTCTTTTTCATAACCACAATACAGTTATCAACTCCACTAAATTTAACATTTATATAATACTTTAACAACTATCAGAGCTTCCATGATAATAAAGAATCTGCCTGCAATGCAGGAGACCCCGGTTCAATTCCTGGGTCAGGAAGGTCCCCTGGAGAAGGCATAGGCTACCATCTCCAGTGTTCTTGGGCTTCCCTTGTGTTTCACCTGGTAAAGAATCCACCTGCAATGTGGGAGACCTGGGTTTGATCCCTGGGTTGGGAAAATCCCCTGGAGAAGGGAAAGAAAAGGTTACCCACTCCAGGCTACCCATTTTGGCCTAGAGAATTCCATGGACTAGTCCATGGGGTTGCAAAGAGTTGGACACGACTGAGCAACTTCACTTTAACTTAATGACTATCATATGTATTCCAGTTGTCAGCTGATCCAATAATATCTTTTATAGCATTTTCCCCACAGCACACGATGGTCTACAACCATATTATGATCAATTATGTTTCCTGAGTTTCCTTAGTGTCTCTTTCATGAGACTGGCATTTCTGAAGAACAGAGTTCTTTTTCCAGAGAATATTTCTCATGTTTAGAACATGTATAGAACATTCCTGACATCTTCCTATGATTAGGTTCAGATTAAGTACTCCAGTCAATTTTTTTCGTTAAAGATTTATGTATTTTATTTTTAGGCTGTGGTGGGTCTTTGTTGCTGCTTTTGTTGCTGCACACGGGCTTTCTCTAGTGGTCGCAAGCAGGGGCTACTCTTCATTGCAGGGTGGTGGGCTTCTCATTGTGGCGGCTTCTCTGTTGCAGAGCATGGCTTCTCAGCATGCAGGCTTTTTTTTTTTTTTTTTGCTTGAAAAAAATCTTTTATGTTTTATTGCTCTTTTTTTTAATTTATTTTATTTTTTTCATTTATTTTTATTAGTTGGAGGCTAATTACTTTACATCATTGCAGTGGTTTTTGTCATACATTGAGATGAATTAGCCATGGATTTACATGTATTCCCCATCCCGGTCCCCCCTCCCACCTCCCTCTCCACCCGATCCCTCTGGGTTTTACCAGTGCACCAGGCCCGAGCACTTGTCTCATGCATCCAACCTGGGCTGGTGATCTGTTTCACCCGAGATAATACACGTGTTTTGATGCTGTTCTCTTGAAACATCCCACCCTCGCCTTCTCCCAGAGTCCACAAGTCTGTTCTATACATCGGAGTCTCTTTTTCTGTTTTGCATATAGGGTTATCGTTACCATCTTTCTAAATTCCATATATATGTGTTAGTATACTGTAATGGTCTGTATCTTTCTGGCTTACTTCACTCTGTATAATGGGCTCCAGTTTCATCCATCTCATTAGAACTGATTCAAATGAATTCTTTTAATGGCTGAGTAATATTCCATGGTGTATATGTACCACAGCTTCCTCGTCCATTGGTCTGCTGATGGGCATCTAGGTTGCTTCCATGTCCTGGCTATTATAAACAGTGCTGCGATGAACATCGGGGTGCACGTGTCTCTTTCAGATCTGGTTTCCTCGGTGTGTATGCCCAGAAGTGGGATTGCTGGGTCATATGGCAGTTCTATTTCCAGCTTTTTAAGAAATCTCCACACTGTTTTCCATAGTGGCTGTACTAATTTGCATTCCCACCAACAGTGTAAGAGGGTTCCCTTTTCTCCACACCCTCTCCAGCATTTATTGCCTGTAGACTTTTGGATAGCAGCCATCCTGACTGGTGTGTAATGGTACCTCATTGTGGTTTTGATTTGCATTTCTCTGATAATGAGTGATGTTGAGCATCTTTTCATGTGTTTGTTAGCCATCTGTATGTCTTCCTTGGAGAAATGTCTGTTCAGTTCTTTGGCCCATTTTTTGATTGGGTCATTTATTTTTCTGGAATTGAGCTGGAGGAGTTGCTTGTATATTTTTGAGATTAATCCTTTGTCTGTTGCTTCGTTTGCTATTATTTTCTCCCAATCTGAGGGCAGTCTTTTCACCTTGCTTATAGTTTCCTTTGTTGTGCAAAAGCTTTTAAGTTTCATTAGGTCCCATTTGTTTATTTTTGCTTTTATTTCTAAAATTCTGGGATGTGGGTCATAGAGGATCCTGCTGTGATTCATGTCGGAGAGTGTTTTGCCTATGTTCTCCTCTAGGAGTTTTATAGTTTCTGGTCTTACATTCAGATCTTTAATCCATTTTGAGTTTATTTTTGTGTATGGTGTTAGAAAGTGTTCTAGTTTCATTCTTTTACAGGTGATTGACCAGTTTTCCCAGCACCACTTGTTAAAGAGGTTGTCTTTTTTCCATTGTATATCCTTGCCTCCTTTGTCAAAGATAAGGTGACCATAGGTTCGTGGATTTATCTCTGGGCTTTCTATTCTGTTCCAGTGATCTATATTTCTGTCTTTGTGCCAGTACCATACTGTCTTGATGACTGTGGCTTTGTAGTATAGTCTGAAGTCAGGCAGATTGATTCCTCCAGTTCCATTCTTCTTTCTCA